CGTGATCCTAGCTCAAGTATCTGTCGTGATCCTAGCCCAAGTATCTGTTGTGATCCTAGCTCAAGTATCTGTTGTGATCCTAGCCCAGGTATCTGTCGTGATCCAAGCCCAAGTATCTGTTGTGATCCTAGCCCAAGTATCTGTTGTGATCCTAGCTCAAGTATCTGTTGTGATCCTAACCCAAGTATCTGTTGTGATCCTAGCTCAAGTATCTGTTGTGATCCTAGCCCAAGTATCTGTCGTGATCCTAGCTCAAGTATCTGTCGTGATCCTAGTCCAAGTATCTGTTGTGATCCTAGCCCAAGTATCTGTTGCTATCCTAGCCCAAGTACTGTATGCTAGTCGTAGCTACGCACTGTGGGATATGAGGGTACGTTATCTGCGCGACATGCCCTAATAAATCAAGCAGAAAGACAGAAGTTGTTCGCGAGTCATTACACATACATGTACAAACACAGTACATACATACAGGTACAAAGACATAGATCCCCCGTATAGCCTTAACATACTTTTGGGGCAAGTGCAGTTAGTGAGCGCCTATTAAGGCTAGTGTGGTCAGCACCATGCCTGACCACCTCTGTATCCCCAGCGCTGATGTATGCGCTTCACACTAATAGCTCGTAGTTGGAGGTTGCGAAGTAAAAAATGCCTTTTGGTGGGTCGACTTGGCCCATCGTCTCTCCGGTGTCGATAACAACGCGGATACCACATTGGAGGTGCCACACAGGAACGTGGCATTTCTACCGCTGGCTCGAGGCTGCACACAGGAGACGTAGTGCCGTCTGATGCTCAACGGAGCGGGAAAAACCAACGTTCGTCTGAATGTATCGCAAGCGAATAATAAGCGCGGCCACACTGCAAGACTTATACGCTGCCGCGGCGTAACGGTTAGCACATCGGATGGACTTGCAATCCAGGCGGTGGCTGCCGGTTCGAATCTCCAGCTGTGGCAGTTTAAACGATGGTAATGTTGGAAAACAATAAAATAATAAAAATATAGAACAATAAAATTCTAAAATTATCGTTTTGTATTTTTATTATTTTATTGTTTTCCTTCTACGTGGTGACTTTACCGAAAGAACCAAGACTACGAATCCCTGCAGTCACGAAAGCTTTAAATCAAAATTTAATCGTAATGTTGCTTAAAGCGCACCCGCACGCACACACCCAACCCTGCACCGCCTCTGCCGCCCAAGCAGCAGTATAAGCCGGTACAGCACACTCATTTGATGCGGTGGGGTGAAGTGTGGGTACTCTCACCTCTGCCAACAAGTCTCATCAGTTTGAAAGTGGAGGCGAACATGCATTGGAGAGGGAACACTTTGGAGCTCCCTCGAGTGGAGGCCATTCAGCTAGCAGCGGAGCCAGCAAGCCATTGCAGGGCTGCACCTTTTGTCTCCTTGCTACCCGTGCAGAAAGATCAGCGGTACGTGCAGCGCTTGGCATCCTGTACAGCACTCAGACTCGAGTTCCATCTCCGGCCACGGCTAACATCAGTGGCGAGTGATATCTCAACGGGCCCTGGTGCCTCCCCTCCCTCCTTCGCCGACCTGCGCTTGACCGGCGCGGTGAAGTATAGTCAACTAACCGCCATGCCCGACATGGCGCGTGGTTGCACTTCAACCAAACAGAGCACAGACAGAGGGGGCTGCAAAGTCTGTCACATTATTAATATGCCGTTGAACGTATTTCAAAGTGCACAACTGTGCGAGTGCAGAAAGCGTAAGCAATTAAAGGTGACAAATGACACACGCGCGCGCGCGCACACTTCTGAGGAGCACACAATTAGTTTCCCTTTGCGCGCTGCGGTGCGTGCGATCCGTCACGTGCGTTTGACAACTGGCCCCGTCGGTCTGCTGTAAACTCGGGCCCGTGGCCGGAGAATTAAACAGCCGCGGGTGGCCCCTCTCCGGCAGGTCGCAAAAACCGCCCGCAGCGAGTTTGGTCCACCCGTGCCATCCCTCCCGGCGTGCCAAGCAAGGGAGCGGTGGCGGCAGCGGGCATGCACAAGTTGAGAAGGGAACGATTTCCCGTCGTCCCTCGGCCGTCCGTTCTGGAAAGCCCACGGCCACGGTCGAGAATTGCCCTCCTTTTTAGGCGTTGTTCTACGGTCCCGTGGTGAGCCGTGTGTCGCTGTATAGTGTTAAGGTCGGCGGGCGATGACTTGTTTTCGTTGTAAAGCAAGGCGATATTTAATAGTGATTTGGTAGTGTCCTCAATTGCGTTTTTTTTGCTTGTTAAATACTGGTTCCTCACTTATCCCCCCCGCCCACCCCCCCCCCCCTCTTTGCCCACATCATCAACAGAATTATGTATCTTAAGCAGACACGGACCCAAAAATTAGATTCTCTAAATCATCTGTTACTTCTCAACGGGCCCTTGTGACTTCCACCTCTTCCGACAGGCGACCTCCATCTTTTGCTCGAGTAAACAAATCGCGTCCATCTCTAACCTCAATTGGCGATGCATTATGCATTCGGTGAGCACACTGCTACAACCTTCCTTTGGTGTACATCAGTGTTGTTCTGCACCTTCGATTAGCGCGGTTGGCTACGTGCGGTGCAAAATAAGTTAAACATACATAATTTTCAGAGGGGGAAGGGGGGGGGGGGGGCGGGCACTTTCGCCGATAAAACATCAGCGTGAAGGCCGCCACACCATTTGAAACCATTGGGGGTTTGACAGCAGCACGATAATGATGGCGGGGGGGGTGTTTTTGGATTTGTGTACTGTGGGGGGCTGCACGTCAGGGGCCGCACTAAAGGCTACCAGAGGCCGCCAGTGGTCCGCGGGACATGCAATGAACAACACCGGTGTACAGAACATAAGCGCGACTTTCGAAGCTCACAGAGTAAAGCCAAAACACCCGTGGTTCCTCACGAGGGGTTTTGACGTGTGTGTAAATATATATATAGGCTGACCCAGACAGACTGGGAATTGGCATTTGTCTTCGGATGGCAGGAATTTATTTGAACCGACATCTGGTACCGGCGTTGCCGCATTCAAACATTATTGCAGCTTGAACACTTAAAACTTTGTGACATAACACTGCGCAGTGATTCACAACAGACCAAGGCTGGCCGAGAAATATATCCAAGGTTTGGTCTGCGGCAAAGGTGGTCAACGCCGACCACGATACAGTACCCACGCATAGATCCCTCCGATGCGGTACACATCCCGCCACGCGCTTTCTGCACTGCTTTCTACTGCCCAAAACACCAAATAAAGTTGATAATCGATTATCCGGCTTCCAATATTGTCCGGCGGTCCCGGGTTCGATCCGGCAAAAAACCGCTCCAAAAGTAGTAATCCGGTCGAGCGATCGACGCAACCAAGTAGCATGCCAAAAACAAGTCGATTTGCTTGATTACGTTGTTGGATATTAGAAATAGTACATTATACACTACATACATACAACTTAAACAATGGAAATACTGCACGTATATATATCACCCCATGCAGAGTCTTCGAGATTGGAGTGGTAAGTAGGGTAAAGTAAATATAGTAACTGTTTACAGCAGTTTAACACGGAGACTTTCGCGACCAATATCATCCATAATCCAGATTTATCTTTGGGTTAGTTCCCGTAAATATAAATGTGTCGTTAAACCCGCCACCGCCCGACACGGCTAATTATTAAGGTTTGTCACGTGAACAGAACGTGCCAATTCATTACTAGTACAGCACACCGGTGTATTGGAGAGCAAATCCACAACATTTATAATCTGTGTATGACGTTTCGCCGGTAATCACAACCGGCATCATCAGGCGACAGCCAGATTTGTGTCGGGTGGTGGCGGGTTTAACGATACATTTATATTTACACGATCTAACCCAAAAAAACTGCATTATGTTTACAGTAGGATATTAATTTCTTGTCCATTTGTATGTTTTGTTTATGCCTCATTGCATACAGCAAACACATTTAAAACACTAAAAAAACACACACACAAAAACAACACACTTACAAAACATAAATGTCATACAAGAATATGCAAAAATAGATATTTTTCATAATGATGATGATGATGCGATTATCCAGAAGGAATCACTGACCTTGCCGACAATGAGTATCGTTACTCGATCCATGAAATCGCGATGGGGTTTTGTAGGATGAACGTTGAGATTTATAAGGGCACGGGGTGACCAACAAGGTCTGAATTGGTCTGTAATAAGGTAGGCACTGATAAGGGGTTGACAGGTATGTGTACACCTTGTACTCGAGTGGTAGTCAGGGATGCACCTATGGGGTTGGGGGGGGGGGGCATGTGGCAGCGTTATACGACTACAAGGGGGGAACCCGAATCAATAAGATAAACACGAAAAAAATGTTGCTAAAATCTATTCAACAAAAAAAAATATTCGTTAAAACATTTCCTATTCTTGTTTGTGATGATGATTGCTTGTGTTGCAGTCGAAACGTCGTGAGAATTTTATTGTTAATTTTTTATTATTTTATTATTTCCCTTCTACGTGACTTTACCGAAAGAACCAAGAATATGATTCCCTGCAGTCACGAAAGCTTTAAATCGAAAACATTTCCTGTTTTAACGCATCTGTGGCTATCTTGTCAATAGAGCGGCATACAGTTGCACGATCTACCACCCCTTTGAGGCAATCCGAGACCGATGGGGCTGGAATCAAAGCAAAGCCAGATGCACAACTTAATTGTGAGTATCGTTACCGTTGAATATATTTTGTATCAATACTGTCACTGTGGTGAGACTGTATTCCTTTTAAACTCCAAATACACGGTGCAACTAAAATAATACATAGAAATATAGCCTACATATTATTGCATACGGGCTAAACACGTCCGTAGGTATTTCAGTAAAAGTGAGTCGGGATGAAAGGAGGAATGGCCCACAGTGGTTATCTTGCATAGCCCCCCCGATGAAATAGTTTGTTACGCCTCTGCTGATTTAGTGCCTTATGAAGAAGAAGAAGAAGAAGAGAAGGAGGATCAGGAGGAAGACGAAGAAGACACGGACGATGCTCACCCCAGCCGATGAGCAGGTAGAGGCGGAAGTGGGCCTCCTCGGAGAAGACGGTGACCGAGAGCAGCGTGTGCAGGTAGAGACCCTCCACGAGCAGCCAGAAGTAGTTGGCCACGATGCAGTACTGCATGAGCACCTGCGCGGTGCGGCAGCTCACGGCCACCTGGCGAGAGGGCGCACGCGGGGCAAGGGCACGCACAAAAGGTAAAAGAGTCCCACCACCCCGCCCCGGATAGCCTTAACACATTGTAATCATAGTGGGGTTTTTCCCCCATTTTTCTGGCACCAAAAAACTGAAACCTTTTAACAAGGAATCATGTCTGCATTAACCACAATACCTGTGGTCAGAATGCAAACAAAAAAAAACACACTGATAATATATGCATTGTCCTTGAAACTGATTGGTCCACACCAGAGACAGCTTTCTATTGAGCCTCGTCTCAATTGGTGCTCGACCAGAGGACGCCAAAAGGCGTACAGCTCAAAGACAATGCGCTATCAAAGTAATCAGGGCTCGGGGTGATATATTATCAGAGTGTGTTTTTTGTTTGCATTTTGACCACAAGTACTGTGGTTAATGCACACAATGGTTCCTTGTAAAAAGGTTTCAGTTTTGTTGCCAGAAAAAAAGGGGAAAACCCCTATTATTATACTTTGGTACTGGCAAAGGAGGTCTAATGATGTAGATCCTTAACACATTGTTGGGGCAAGTGCTAGTAAGGTACGCGGTGGGGTAGGCGGGGGGCGGGGTATGCGTGGGAGGGCAGCACCACGCCCAGCCGCCTTTGTCTCCTTGTAATTGCCCTATAACAGGCACTCATTTGAGTCGACCTGGGCTCGACCCACCACCGGCTCAGATCATCGTCCCCGGTGTTGGGTCGTTCAGCGGGAGTTGAACTCGGGTCGCCGCGGCTCAACGCGTCCCGCTGCCTCGGCTGCCACTCCGTCGTATTTCTTCGACCTTCGTCCATCGTTCCCTTCGAGCGACGAAGTTGCTGCCCAAAGCCGACAACGTACTTCTCTTTCACAGTTTCGGGTCATTCATCCGCGTCTCTTCCCAAATCCACGCATTTCCTCTGTCTGTCTGACGGAAAACCGGTCGCATCCCCGCCAAACTCGATGACATGGGCGGCACAGGTTAGCGGAGTATATTTTTTTCTTACGGAATAGTCTTCGCCGGCCGGCTGGCTGCCTGCATAAAGCGAGCGATACATTGTTATAAATAAATGCACAGCATTTGTCCCCTTTACAATTTCTCAATTTGAGGATTGTTCATACTGCTTTTGAGCAAAGGCTGCCCTTGTAAACCCCAGATATATATATACACACACACACTGTGCAGTGTGTGGGGCATATGAAAAGTCAATAGTGATTAGGGCCAGGGTTTCAGCGGGTCAAATCTCACCTCCGCCCAGCGATACCGAGGAGCGATATGAGAGCATGCGCTCGTTTACAATGCGGACACCGGAGGCCGTGACAATTCACTTTCTAGAGTAGATTGACGTGTGACCTCTCTGCCATGGGGTGCCTACTCAACAGCCCCAATACAGCAGTGCGAGAGAGTTCACTGCGGACGAGTTAATACGTTACGTGAAATGGTGTTGGCGCTGGAGTGCGGAGTTGTCAGCACGCGAGAGTTGTCGCGCTGCTCTTCGAGCACAGCGGTGGCCTGAGTTCGATCCCCGGCCACGGCTAACATCAGCATGGGGGGTTGCTGTATGAGCCGGCCCTGGGCACACCCCACCGTCACCAACCCGCATTGACCGACGTGGTGAAGAATGGTCGAACAATCCCCACGATGATTAAGGCCTGTACATTTTTACGTATCAATGTTACAAATTCCCTCATCAACTTTCCAGAAAAAAACTCCCGATGCCAGACCTTTAGAGTTTTGACATGGGGGGGGGGGGGGGGGTGGGTGGGCGAGTCGGGTGGGAATGTAAGACAAATCCGATACTTTGTTGTAGATGATGAATTAAGTATTGAAGTATCGATGTAAAAAGCACAGGGTTACCGTTTAACCTTTACACACCGCTGGGGCAAAAGGCCCATGAATGCTGGCATGCGGCGCGAGAGGGTGGAGCGGCCAGCACGGCGTTTTCCCGTCCGCCTTTGTCTCCCCCGGTGCCAATGGTGACGCAAGCCACAGCCTGCCAATCTGGAGGGTTCGGACTTCCAATTGCCACTGAAGCAACACATCATGGCCTAAAAAACGAGCCCGTGTCACCGCAATCATAGCGCAAGTGCAGCGATGATCGATGCACACGCGCACGCGCGCGTGCGGGTTACTGCTTTCATTCCCAGCGTGGTTTTTTTGGAGTCAATTCTCATGATTGAACGGCGGGCTCTCTGCACAAGGCAATTTGTGCTGTTGTTGTTGTTGTTTTATATCTGCACCAAACCGTCGTGGTTGCTTTAACACAACCAATCCCTGCCTACTCGAATCCTCCACTCGGGGTAAGCAGGGCTCGGTGACCGCTGGTTGCACCGGTGACGGCTGGTCAGGGCGTGGGCCCTCGGCGCTCGCAGCCACGGCTGTGAGATTAACCCAGGGGCTCTTAGGGGCTGTGTTTCTATCGGTAACACGGGGCGGCAGGGCAGCAGCACAGTGCTAGCACTTGTGCCTCGCAGCAACAAGGCCCCGGGGCTCGACTCCCCAACTCGGGTCCCTTTCTGTGTTGAGTTTGTCCGTACTTAGTTCTCCCCCTCCCCCTGCTCTGAATGGGGTTCCTCCGGGTTCCCTGCCGTAACTATGAAATGTTCACTGGTGAAAAAAGAAATCCGCTCGGAAAGGAGTGTGTCGCACGGAATGATCGATCGCCAGCCACGGCCAATACACTGCTGGATGAGGGCCTCCCCAAGCTGCTGCCGCCTCTTGTGATCCTGCGATGCGACGATCCAGCCAGCAACTGGGCACGAGCTCATTTTATTGCTCCATCTCCGCAGTGGACGGGTCCCACGATGTAATCCCCGATTTATTTTTTGTGGCGCAACAGAGATTTACGTTTGCACAGTTTGCGATTCCTCGCGTAATATGGTTGTGGGTTTTTTTTTTCAAAACGCAGGCTTTCGCGACCAGTGTTATTCATGATGGAGGTTTTTTTTTTTGGGTTAGATCGCGTAAATATAAACGACGCATTCATATTTACACGATCTAACCCAAATAAAAGTTTATTACGGTTGTTTTTCGTTCAAGTCTTTCCTTTTTGCTTTCGGCACTTTTTGATAGGCCAGGCAGCTGTTGCACTTGAGACAATATCCTGGTCCTTGAGCTCCCAACCTGGTTAGACAAAATAAACTTGAACATGGTCCTGACGGATGGCGATCGTAGAGGCATCTATTCTGTGTGCCGCGTGTGCACTGCACCTTCCGTCGCTGTACGTATGTATGTTGAACTTCTCAAGCATGTATGTGCAGAGGTGCTAACTACTCACTGTTCAATTTTTTAATTGAAGCTTTCGTGACTGCAGGGATTCATATTCTTGGTTCTTTCGGTAAAGTCACGTAGAAGGAAAACAATAAAATAATAGCAATATAAAACTAGGGTTTTATATTTTTATTATGTTGCTCACTGTTCAGTAACCTGCATTGTCACTAGGTATCAAAGGGGCAGTGCAGCGTTACCTCTGTGTGAGCAACGGTTGGGGTCAGACGAGGTGAAGTGGATCGTAGCCACAGTTTGGCAAGAACCAATCAGACAGTTCCACGTGGGAATGTGGGATTGGTTACACCTGGCCACAAACGGGTATAAGAAGGGTGACCACGCAGAGCACGGGGAATTCTCTCCCTACACGAAGACCGAAGCCCGGGCTGAAGATAGACAGGACCCTGGACTCAGCCTTCAGGCCCTTCTGAGGGCTAAGGCTCGGCGTATCCAGTGGTCAAGACCCGCCGGGCCAGCGGTGGGTCAGATAGCCTCCCCTAGGTGCCAGCCGGAGGACTCTAGGGTAGCGGTAGACGTGTGAGTAAGTCCCACCAAGATAGGAAGCTGTACCTCCTCAGGTTAGCAAGAGACCTGTGTGTAGGTCACGCTAAGTCCGGAGGCTGTACCTTCTTAGGGTATCGGGCGAGGGGACCGTATACCCCTCTGTGTGCTAAGGACTGTGTAAAGAGAAGAATTACAATAAAAAGAGCGTGCCTCATAAGAAGTGTATTCGTCATCATAAACACTACATACGTATAATGAACGTCATTTTCACCGCGCGTAGCCAACGACGGTGCTAACTGGCGGTGCGGAGAAAGGACAACAAACTAAACACAAAAAGCAGGCAGGTCCAAAGAAATTACCTCGTCAATCTAGTTGATTTAAAAGGGCACTACCTCCAGGGTCTTCCTGATATTGGCAGGAAGAGCATTCCTAGACGGCCGCAGAAGCGCGCCTGAAAGCGCGCGATTGCTGTGACTGTCCTTGTTCGATGGCCAGCTGGTTAACGTGAACTCGCGCTTCGTCAGGTCTCTCTGATCTGCGCAGAGAAACGCAAGTGCCCCCCCCCCCCCTCCCCCCCCCCCTCCGATCGTCGAAATGCAGCGCTAAGTGGTGTCTGCTTCAACTAATTTGCGAGGGACGTGCGTGTGGGCCACAAGCAGTGCGGGGGCGAGGCAAAGGTCTCATACCTGGAAATTGATTTAACGCGCGTGTCAAAAAGCACCAGACCTCGCTTGTTACGCTCAATCGTTGCGCGGCCGCTTGATTGCGCGGCACACCACAAATGCCCCTTTGTTGCGTGTGTACATGCACGGCCCTTTATGAGGGGCTCCCCATGCTGCGAGGGTCGTGGGGGGGGTTATTTGACTATACTTCACCGCGCTGGTACAGAACAGCTGATGGATTTTTCTTCGCTGCCCTCCGCTGCCCGCCAAGCCTGCTGCTGCATCCACATTTTCTTTTTGGTCTCGCACTCGGTGCTTTCAAGCAAGCAATGAAAAACAACATTTTGAAGCCACCACACCTACGGGGGGCTCGTGACCTCTTGCCCGTGACCCTTCGACGTCTTCACGTGTCCCGGCACGAGGGCCACAGCGACGGCTGTCCGTCACCCGAGGAGGGATGCGAGAGTGGCGGTCGTGTCGGCCGCGTCGTGCCTGCCCGTCGTTGTGCTGGTTCTGTTCTGGCGCCAAGGTGGCGAGATGTTAATTGCCTCGCCTGGTATGCAGGAGGTCGTGGGATCGATCCCGACCTGCATATTTTGGAGTTTTCATGCCTCTCCCCGTGGTCGTGTGGATTTTTCTCCAGGTCCTCTGGGTTTTTCCCTCCCCGTTTAGCAACATGCGTTTCGAGTATTTGGCTGCTATACATTTCCACGTGATAAGCCACTTAATTGGGCTACCATTTGTGGCCGGGTCACTTCTGAAAAAAAAGCTATGTAGCTCAGTGGGCCTTAGTTGGTAAAATAATAATAACAAAAAATAGTTTAGTTTCGTTTCTGCTCTGATCTGTCCCACGAAAATGGCCGGCTCAATTCTCGTGGAAATCGGTGATGGGAGCAGAACACGTTAAACGTTTCGTCGTTATGTTTTTGTCCACTGGTATACAAAAAAAAAGTTCGTTCATCCTCGCAGCATCTTGTGGCCAACCGTCGATCAACGACGGCCATCGCGGCGCGTGCTCTCAGATGCGCTTCTGCAGCCGTCCGCAAACGCCCTTCTCATATTGGGAAGCCACTGGAGCTGCGCACTTTCGAATTTTAGATTGAAAACGAATTTCTTTAGAGCCGATTTGTGCGCCCAGTTTGTCGTCCTTGCCCCCGCACCAACGCGCTCAAGTAATTTCACTAGCAACGTCCACTGCTCGGGGTCTTGCAACTGGATCGTGGCTCAAAACAAACGGCGCCTGCAGCTGTGCCACGAAACGCTGACGTCGACGGCCCCAAGCGAACGGGGCCTAATTAGCGAGATGCTCGCGCGGCACGCCTTCCGAGAATTTCGGACGCTTGACCTTTCGCTCCGCCGGGTTTGATAGCGACAGCCACAGGCTACGGTGGCAGGATGCGCGCACGCTGCACTTCGGTCGCAGCGACGTGTTTGTCCATTTATCTCGCTCCTCGTGAAACAAAAATACAGGCCATGTTCTTCGTTTTTTACTTATTTATAGCACGGCAGAGGCGACCGCAGCTGGAGTCTCTGACGCGCTGTGGAGAAACGATGACGGGCAGAGGAATGAAAATGCATCCGAGAGGCCGTCCACCGTTGCCCTCCGCCTTGCACATCTGATTAGCACGGTTGGTTACGTGCGGTGCGGAAGAAGTTCAACGCGCATACCTGCATGCACGGGTGCAGAGGGAGCGATGAAATCGGCTCGTGTGCGAGTGCCGGCCAGATTACTGATATTCCTCTTCCGTCGTGGGTTCGCGAGAGACGGCAACGGCTTGGAGGGGCCTTCATCCAGCGGTGGATTGAGCGTGGCTGATAATGACAACGATGATGATGTCCAGATCCCACGGAAGATGGCAATCGGGCATTTTTAGCAACCGCATGTGTAAACGTAATGCATGTTTAACTTCTTTCGCACCGCTTCAGAGGATATTTTGGTCTATTCTTCCACACTGGTCCAGACACCTTCGAAGAGGTGGGAGTGACTCACATACACGCAACAAAGACAAAGAACCTGTGTCGGCCTAGGGGAGGCCCAGAACATACACAGTGCACAAAGACAAATATCCCCCGTATAACCTTAACTGACTGTTGGGGCAAGTGCTGTTAGCGAATAGCACCTCTGAAGGCCCGCACGGCACACGAGGAGGTGGGTGGTCAGCACCACGCCCGACCGCCTTTGTCTCCCCAGTGGCGATGTTTACAAATCGCACCAGATACTAATTTTAGGCTGACTCGACCTAGGGGAGGCCCAGGACTGGTTCAGATAATCGTCACCGGTGTTGGCTGTGAGCGGAAATCGAACCCGAGTCTCCAGATTCGTAGCGCAGTGCGCTAACCGCGACACTACCACTCCTCCTGCAGTGCACACGCACTCACGCACGCATGCACTCATGCACGCAAACACGCACACACTCATGCACACAACAACAACCGACATTCGCCACTAAGTGGCGGTGACGTCACCACGACGCTTGTGCCAGGCTATGTGCACCTTGAGGCCACGTGAAGTGTTGAACGCCCGCTGGCAGTAGGTCACGGGGCAGACCCAGGTGCCACTGGTCGACTGACTGAGATGACTGTCTGCACCACCTGTGCCCCCTACTGTGCCAACCTGCTGTGCTTTAGCCACCCGGCGCTCCGCTCGGTGTTGTGAGCGTCGCTCCTCCGCCCTCCGTTGTTGTTGGAGGGCGACTGCCTCCAACTGCCCAGTAGCGTCCTTCACGAGCCTCCTCCACAGAGGCCGATCTTGACACCGCTGGTACCGGTCATCAGCAAGTCCACTCAGCTCCACATCCTCCTGTACCACATCACTCCATCTCTTCTCTAGCCCGTGCCGCGCCCGCTTAGCCCCGCATACGCACACACACACGCACGCGCGCACCTCTGCACTCAGGAAAGCTCCCCATTCGGTGGCGTTGCTCGGGTCCATCTCCCAGTGCGTCTCCAGGAGGGCATCTTTCACCAGGATGGACATGGCTCGAAGGATGAACGACCCGAACAGGTTCATGTGGATGTAGTTGCGGGTGCAGTGCAGCCTCCTGCCCAAGAGAAAGAGACAGAGAAGAGAGAGAAGAGAGAGAAGAGAGGGAACGGGAGAGCGCCGAAGCAGAGCGACGTGACGCGGGAGACGAGTTGCACGCAGAGTGCTGCTTGGAAACGACGAGAGGGTGGCCGACACGATCACACCCCCCCCCACACCCCCCGTGCACCGCGCGAGCGACCCACCTGAACATCAGGAAGGTGGCGAGTGCGAGCACGAGGGCGGCCAGCGAGAGCGAGTAGCCGACCGTGTACATCTTCTTGAAGCCCTCCAGCAGATTCCGCGTCCCGTTCTGCACCCGCAGTGGCCGTCGTCCGAGGTCACCAAGCTGTCGTCGCGTTTGTACGCTCGTTCGCCACAGGGAAGTCTCACCGAGTCTCAAGGGCCCTTTGACGGGAGGGTCCTTGCCAGGTTGTTCGTGTTTTGTCGTTGTTGCTGTAGTAGTCGTAGTAAAGGGGGCAATCGCGCCGCTATTCGTGTAATCCCAATTGAGTGGGATTTATGTCCCAAGATCGGTTACATTGTATGGGTTTCTGTTTTAGTTTATTACTATCATTATTATATTTAGCTATGCTAGCAAACCAGAGAACGCGGAGGAAATACGTGCGTAACAGCGGGGGGGGGTTGTGGGATGTACAAACTCCACGCAGAACGGCACCCGAGTCGCGACTCCAAGCCAGGGTCCCTCCTTGCTGTGAGGTACGAGTGGCACTCACTGAGACTAGCAGGGTTACACACACCGGGGAGATGGAGCGATGGAATCAGCTCATGTGCGAGTGCCCGGGGTAGATGACTATCATTGTTGTTACATCCGTGGGTTCGCGAGAGACGGCAGCCGGTTGGAGGGGCCTTCATCTAGTGGTGGACTGAGAATGGCTGATAATGACGATGACGATGTCCGGATCCCACAGAAGAAGACAATCGGGCATTTTTAACAACCCGGCTTTCGCATGTAGAAATGTGTGTGTGTGTGTGTGTTTAACTTCTTTTGCACTGTACGTAGCCAACCGCTTTAATCGGAGGTGAGTCTGCGTTGAAGCCGCCGCTTGTCTACAGGATGCCCATATAGGCCAACTTAACATACACACTGCCGCCCAAATGTCAGCAAAAACGTGAAGAAGAAGAAGAGTGATGATAGCGGAGACAGGGAGCGCAAATGGTCACGAGAAGAAATTGATGGCAAGCGCAGCAGCAATGACGACGTTAAATCCCAAAATGAAGCGACGATGGGGTTTTTTTTCTAAATGATCCCATGGCAACCTCAAGTGTCGCCTCGTTTAAAGAATGCCAGTGCGTTAATGCTCGTGCTGATTGACACAAATGAAGCCACCCATGTAAGGGTCTGAATGTTCCTCTCCTGTCTAAACGCAGCCGTTCCTTGTGAATGATATTTTCCCATCCATTTCAACAGAATCTTTGACACGTTTTGCGTCTCGACATGAGGCTTCTGTTGCTTTCGGAGCTTTGAAGGGTTATTTAATTTAACCAAAAATGCTCATCATGTGCGGGAAGAAACATCATACCATATTAGAAAAAGGTTTGCTGATTTGATTCATACCCAGATTCCCGACTGGCGCAACACGAAGAGAGGAGGGAAAGGAAAATCAACATGTAGCGGGAGGATTAGGGAGCAACAAGAGAGATTGAGACGGGAAAGGGAGAGGTGTGAATAAGGAGAGCGAGGGTGAGAGAGACACACACACACATGGAGAGATATAGGGGGAGAGAAGTGGGTGGGGTATAGTGGAGGGAGGAGATGATTATAGAGGGAGAGAGTTAGAAGAGGGATAGAAATGGAGACAAAGTAAGAACACGATATACATTTGGATGTACAGTACAGAGAAGGCAAGAGAACGTTGGATAGAGACAGGGCTCTATGTAAGATAAAGAGTTTTGCTGGCTGTCTTGAGAGGGATGGACGGACGAACGGTTACATCCAAAGGATGAACTGGTTGTTAGTCTGAACAGAAACACTTTTAAGATTACATTTAACGAGTGTCATTTTGATTGAAATTATGTTCCAGATTAATTGAACAGGCTTTACATATATATTCCCCCCCACACAGTAGGTACAAAATCAGAGCCATCAAATAGAAAATCTAATTATCAGTCTCCCTCTCCAGAAAATGTGTGCGAAGTGGGTTAGGCCAGCCGTGGCAGAGCGTGGGAAGCATCTTACGTCTTTGGGCGACTCGTCCTGGCACTGCGAGATGTCCCTCCAGGGCAGGCCATCCCCGTCCACCACCCACTGTCCGTCTGCACCGCACCTCCGGAACGCCAGCCCGCCTCGCACTGCCGGCCACACCGGAAACACCAGGGGCTTCATTTCTCACTTGAGTTTTCCCAGAATGCTGTCATAGGCTCACTTGGTGTTGGGCTTATCAGTGTTAGGCACTAGCAGTGGAGTGCAAGATATGTATGTACGTATGTATGTTCTAGACAACCGTGCTAATCGCCAATATCACTTTACCCTATGTTTCTATTATGATAATAACAAATATTATAAGTTCAAAATAAAGTGACATGGTGTGCGGCTGGGTGCCGAAATAATTCCCAGAATGGCGTTCCGGGCTGCTTCAAGGCTGCAACGAAGCCCTGGGAAACGCACAGCGGTGTTGCTGTAACGATTCTCTGTGTGGACTCGCTGTTTCCTTCCTCCCCCATCTCTCTCGTTCTCTCATCTTGCTCTGCTCTCCCTCACGTGCCCCACGCTCAATCAGTGCAGGCCTTCTGGCAAATTGGGAAAGTTTTCCCTTCTCTGTAGCTTCCCCCACAGTCTACAAAGTTTTCTCTCCAGCCGTCTGCGCTGCCCTCGTTCAAAGTCCAGGCTCTTTAAGATCTTCCTCTCAGCCTCTGCCGACGACCTGTCCCCTATCTGCAACGTGATGTCGATCAATCGCAATTCACTTTTCTTCCTGCCCCCGTCTCAGATTCCGTCTCTTTGCTGGAGTTGTGGCTCGTGTTATCGCGTGTCACAGGCTTCAGGTGCTTGGCGCAGCTGTGATGGAACAACTGCAGGGCAGCAGTTACTACCTCCGTTGCTGTACTACTGGCTCACTAAATTCCCCTGCCATCGGTGGCGTAGCTATCGAGTAGTGTGCAGGCGGTGCAACTGCACCGAAGCCCCTTGGGGCAAGAGGCCCTGGGCTTTGGAAGAGGGGGGACATTTTGACAGCGAGCCCCATTTCATTGTTTGCACGAGAGCCCATGCCAACGAGGCCACGCCAGCTTCTTCCATACCCGCTCCTTCGCGTGCCTTTGCTTACACTGTATATTGCTGGATTATTTGATTATGTCCGCTTGACACGCATATTGATTTGACCGTATCCATTGGCGTTTTAAAGCACTTTGAGGGAGGCTGCTTTAAAAGGCTCCAGCGAATAGGAAATACAATTACGATTGTAATTACGATTACGCTTAATGCGCGCGTGCACATGCAAACGTCGACCCAATATTGTTCACCTTTTTCAAACCAAGGCATGAATGGGGGACAGGACACGTTGACCAGAGAATCGGGCTGCCCGTCTGGCCAGCATGCATACTGGTCGAATGAGCGATTGCAGAAGAGGCCTGCTGCACACGGTGGCACGGAGAGAGAGGAACGGGAGATCAGAGCACGCGTCACTGTTTACCGGGCGGCTACGCAAGACAAGACTGCCGCTAATATGTTGGTCAACCCTAAACCGCATCCGCAAAATCCATGGCAGCAGATATGGATACTTGTACTATGTATGATGTTGAACTGATTTCGCACCTTATGTCGCCAACTGTGCTAATCATAGGTACTTAATGACGCACAAATGGAATAAAATAACAATAATAATCTCCAGTGCGCGACTGTAATCACCACAAGGAATGGAACCACGCAACATAAAACGAGTCTCTGCTCGAATAACAAACACGACGGAGGAGGAGGCATCATCATCACGGCAGCGATGCACCCACTCTGCCACCCCTGACCGCAATTATCTGGGCTAATCCACCTCAACGTAAAAAAAAATGTAGTTGTTGCTCTACATCAGGAATGGGGAACGTCCGGCCCGCGGGCCATATGAGGCCCATAAAATCATTTGGTCGGGCCCTGCCAAGGCAACCACAGGCGGGACTCGAAATTAAATAAATCTAGGAGCAAACCTGGAAAAGCAGTTGCGAGTAGCAACATCGTCAATACCAGATAACATCATCACACGCCTCGCCAAAGAGAAGCGGTTCCAGCCATTACATTAGGGGTGAGTTAATTAAATGTTTGACCAAATATAACAGGCTAATTTTTCAGTTTATAATTTTGTATGGCCCGCGAATGATGTTAAAAATATAACAAATGTCCCTTGGCAGAAAAAAGGTTCCCCACCCCTTGCTCTACATCAACATCAGCCGTACGATGAAAAAAATTGGTCAAGGCTTGTAGAATCCGTAGGGGAGTGCCGAATACAAACCAAACTGAGACGCCCCCTGGGAAGAGGAATATCTCACAATACCAGAAGAGGGGGGAACTTCATGTAAAAACGCATTGTCTTCAATGGTATATATATTTATTATCATGATGTACAGGGTGTTTCAAACACATGGACCCAATTTCAAAAGCAGTATATTTCACGATGGCAACATGTTACAATTACGCAAAAAGTTACAAACGTTTTGATTTAAAGCTTTCGTGACTGCAGGGATTCATGTTCTTGGTTCTTTCGGTAAAGTCACGTAGAAGGGAAACAATAAAATAATAAAAATGTAAAACAATAAAATGCTCACGACGTTTCGACTGCAACACAAGCAATCACAGCAAAAAATTTTGAAAAAAAAAATTATTGCTGTTGTTTTCACACCTGATGATGATTGCTTGTGTTGCAGTCGAAACGTCGTGAGAATTTTATTGTTTTATTATTTTATTGTTTCCCTTCTACGTGACTTTACCGAAAGAACCAAGAATATGAATAAGTTAAAAAAAGGTTGAATGAGTTATTAAGTTATACTAACCATTTTATAAATGCTCTAATGTGCCCTCCACCTGCTGTACGGACAACATCGAGACGATAGTTGAATTCGTCCCAAACGCCTCTCTTCTCACGCTTTACTCTGAGGTGCGTGGTCGCCCTGTGCTCTTCCCCTTACATAAACAGCAGCCTGTTTCCTCAAACTGTCGGTACCAACGACGAATGCTCTTTGACATTGGCGGATCAATGCCGAAACGCACGCTGCTCCGCAATTACAGATTCAGTCTTGCTCAACTGCAGAACGCAAAACGCCCCTTGTGTTGCGGTGGGGTCACTGTCTTGCGAATGACTGAGGCTAGGGGATGTTTGTGCACTGCGAGAGGCATCGCTGTAATCATTTGAAACTCTATGCCCCACCCTTTCAAGTGGTTCGTGGTTGCAGAGATATAGCGATTTCAAATCGGGCCCATCTTTTTTAAACACCCTGTATATCATTATTATAATGCAACTGACAAAAAAACAGGACTTGCAATGTCTCTGGGAAACTTACAGATTTCCCAGAAGAGCTACCTCAACAAGAGGATGATCCTGGAAAAACCAGAACAGGTTGCCAACACTTTATGCAGACATGGGAAGCAGAGCTGCAGAGAGAGAGGAGGGGTGAGGGGTGGTGGCTGAGGGGGGGTCTCACAACGGTCCAGGGGGCTTTAGAAAGGGCTGAGAGGGCCGTAAAGAGGCTTCAATAAGAATCTTGCTCCAGGCCTCCAAAATACTTTTTTATGGCCCTGGGAGAAAGCCTACATCATGGAAATATTACTGGTTTAGTGGCCCAATCTGGAGTGCTCTTATCAATACCATCTGGTAAGCCAGCAATATTTGTTTAGCAATCCTGACTGCTATTTTTATTTCATTATTTTTGTCGTCGCACGTGTTTACCGAGTCTCAAGTCTCTTTTTTCAGGAAGATCCGGTCAAGTTTTTGTTCGCAGTAGGACATAGCGATTGCTATGTATAGTCCCAATTGAGTAATTTGTGGAGAGTGATTTCGGACTGTGACGCCGGAACTCTTATGAATGACATCACAGGATCTTTAACGACCACTGTGAAGCAGACGGCGCGTAATCGCGATATTTTTTTCTCACGGTTAATACACAAGCATTCGCCCTGGTTAATACACCGGCAGCATTAACCAGGGGGACCTCTGGATTCGAACCGCGAACCTCTGTGAAAAAGTGGTGAACGTGCTGCCGCTTAGGCCACGTCGATATTTATGCCCAGGAGTTCGAAGCTGTCCCAGGGTTTTCTTGCTTGAACCAATGCCGATGAATTAGCATAATAACCCTTGGCAGGTAGAACATATGTTAATTCAATTAGTTACATCATGCATTACCCAGAATTGGGCCAGAGCTCACCGAATGTTTATATAACATTTGTACTTAACTACATCCCGCACTCCAAACTCCGACAACTGAATCTGTAGTTATCACTCATATTTTAGGATTTTTTTTCTTCTTTTGGATGAATTCAAAATTCGGGATTATCATCCCGAATACATTTACACATCGAGATTACATTGCAAAGCTCCTTACCATCCGGATGCGGCTGAACCTCCATTTTGTTTTTGCACTCCATGCTGTAGAGCATCCATTTTGTGTAGGTGTCCATGAGTATTTTGCTGTTTGTTCCCTGACAAACGACGAAGCAGAACACAATACAGTACAATCAGTGGTGGAAATGGGACGGTGCGCCCCGGAGTGCCGTGGTGGGAGTGAAAATGTTAACCCAGTGACTGCGTTCTGAAAGGAATCAAGGATTCACGTGTTTATTTATTTGACTCACAGATAGGCCTCTAGACTAACATAGAGTCCCACAGACACGCACAGAGACCCACGGATAGACACAGATACCCACATACACACAGAAACCCTCAGACATGCTCAGAAACCCACAGATATATAGATAGATACCCACATACACACAGAGACATACTCAGATACCCACACATGGACCAAAGCTCTTACTCCTCCTCAGCCATAGGTACAATACATTACAATTAATATTTATATTGTGTCTAAATGCCACCGCGTCACGATGCCTATATTATATTCATATTCTTGGTTCTTTCAGAAAAGTCACGTATTATTTTATTATTTCCCTTCTGCGTGACTTTACCGAAAGAACCAAGAATATGAATCCCTGCAGTCACGAAAGCTTTAAATCGAAATGCCTATATTATTATGTTATCTGTAATGGGTTAACATGACCCATCTTTGTCACTTACAGGTGAATCGCGGCGCTTAAACGGGACAATTCATGGAACCGCCAAGAGGATGAGTCACTTCTCACACATCTCTATGTTCTCCACAATCGACAATGAGGTTGCCACCTGTCCTGGTTTTCCCGGGATCATCCTCTTTGTTGAAGTAACCACACGAGGACATCTGTAATGTAAGTCTTCCAGAGACGTTAAAAATCCCGTTTTATTTGTCAGTCGCATACGTAATAATATACGTACCACTCGAGGCGTACCACTCCCCTCGTCTGTCATTCAGAGTCCTCTTCCCTTGATACGTCCCCACTTTTTTGTACCCCAGAGATTGCAACTCCACATTCAAGACTAAATCTCAAGTTAAAATATTCTGCTGTGGACTGCTTCAATGTACTATAATATAACAGTTCATCACTTACAGTGAAACAGATTTACACTTGTCTGCCAAATTGTATCACAGTACTTTGGATTGATTTTTTTATCATGGTTTTTGAGCAAGGGTTTCAAAGGCCCAAAATACCAAGCGGCACAATAAATGTGTAAAAAGAAGCTTCAATACGTTTTGTTTTTTTAGCAAAGGTTGGGAAAAGAGAGACGTTGGGGAGGGAATTCCAAAGCCGAGCAATGCGAGGGGAAAATAAAGGTTCCCAAAGAGCCTTTGTGACCTGCACTACGGCGTTGGAGCAGAGCGGTGGTGGAAGCAGCCGGTCTGGTGAACAGAGTCCTCAACACGGTTGGAGGAGTCCATGGGGACGTTAACCGTGGTCGCGGCGATAGAAGAGCGATAAAGAAGGCGACTGACCGCCGGCGAGCGAGTGACCAGAGTCGATCGATGAGTGCTGGCTCATCGGTCAACCCGACTGCTTGACATTGAATTCTATGAAGTGCGGCGGGGGTTGGAGCTGCAGTTCGGTTTGCGAGTGCTACAGGAGCTAATGCAGCTATGGAGCATAACTTTGTTTCAGGATGGGGTGCGACACAGTGCTAAACTAACATTAATTTGAATTTCGATTTAAAGCTTTCGTGACTGCAGCGATTCATATTCTTGGTTCTTTCGGTAAAAGGCACGCAGATGGGAAGTAATAAAATAATACAAATAAAACAATAAAATTCTCATCATCAGGTTGAAAACCACAGCAAGAAAATGTGTTGCTGTGGTTTTCACACCTGATGATGATTGCTTGTGTTGCAATCGAAACGTCGTAAAGAATTGTATTGTTTTATTTGTATTATTTTATTATTTCCCTTCTACGTGACTTTACTGAAAGAACCAAGAATAACATTAATTGCAAAACAGAATGAGTAATAATGTGATCTGCACTTTGGCCTAGCTCTCACCCCCCGTGTATAAGGAGGAAAGACTGTGAAGTCCACGGGGGGCTGAGACCATCAACTCGGTGCACTTAGAAATCATTTAATCTCAGATTTAATCCAGGCTGTCGTCAGTTAATCTTAGTGATGCCACGGGCTGGATTATAATGATTTGGCAGGCCAGATTTGGCCCAGCCTGTGAGCCGGTATTTCGTACAGCTCTTCCTTTGTAAGGCTAATCAGTCGAATTTTGACACCGGGTGGGTGTGAATCAGTACATGCCTAGTGTGAGATGCTGGAGACTCACCGGCATGGCAGAAGCGAGCAACAGTAACCACATCTTGCTGATATTGAGCCCCATGTGTGACGAGGTCCATCGACGCCGGCAGATGCGCTTCAACGTCCTCCGCTCATGAAATATCGTGGGCCGCGCTCGCTCACACCCGGCGGATCGCGATCACCGTTCGGCACCGTCTCCGCGTCGATGTTAACGCAGCTTCCGGAAAAATCACCTCGGTTTCATGGAACTTCATTTTGACGACTTTGCATACCCAGAATTTCTGCAAAAGGACAACAACAAAATGCGTAACATATTTGTTCTTTCCGGATGTGGCAGCATAAAGCCACGTGCGCATTCTGCGGGCGTCGTGCATGTGAACTATATATTTTTAAAAAAAACAGAAACGCATGAACGTGGCACGTCGCTCATGCGGTACGCAGGGGACTTGTGCACAGGGCGGAATGTATATGAAAAAGGTTACATGTGTGGACATCTAAAGAAGGTAAGTTTACACCATCACACGCAAAGAGTTTACTGGACAAAATGATTTTTTTTAAAAAAGTGCAAACTGCTTAAGCAAGGGAGAATGCTTTACTGTACTTTGGAAGCAAGCGAAGGCACAGCAAGCGATAGATAATCTTTCATATTGCCGATGTAGACGCAAGCAACAACTACAATTTCACATTCAGGTGGTCAAGCCAGATAACCGCGTCAGGAGCAGTGGAGTGTATCGACCGTGAATCTCTTTCGTATTTGTGGATCGGCCATTGCGTCGTCAAACGTTGTACGGTCTGTTCTGCATCACCAAAGTCACACACTGGAGAGAGTTTGATTTTGTGCCATGGTTTATGCGGTGGATGTGATTTAGAGTGGACCATGAGCTTTTGCACTGGGTCTCTCACAATGAATTTGTGAGTTCTTTTGAACTCCATTCAGCTCTTTTTTGAGTTGTGTGACGCCTTTTGGCGTCTTCCGGTCCAACACCAGTGGAGACTAGGCTCTAAGAAAAGCTGTCTTGGGTGGGGACCAATCAAATTCAAGGACAGTGCATATTATTATCAGAGTTGTCTCTTTTGTTTGCATTTTGACTGCTTGTGTTGTGGTTATTGCAAACATGATGCCTTGAATAAAGGTGTCAGTTTTTGTGCCAGTTAAAAGGGTAAAACCTATTACTATATCCATTCAGCTCTCCAAGCTTCATCGGGGTGTTGAACTCGCATGGTTGAAGGTTAAAGCGCATGAATACAAAGGGGCTTGGCGTGACTTCAAGCGATGATGAGGGATGTTATTGACGTCCTGATGAAGGGGAAGGCGACCGTTTTCCTCGATTCGCAGGACTTCCCGGAAGGTTGCATCATTGATGCGGGTGGGTGGGGGGAAGAGCTGTGTGACAGTATGCGAGATTAATAATTACTGTAATTCATGATTGTTGTCGGATTTGTGAAGATCTATACTGTATATACAACGAAAGTTATTCCATAGAAAATGTTTTTGGCAATTGTCCACAACACATAAATTATAGCACATACATGATTTTTTTAGCTATGAACAAGGGTCGTTGCCCTTAAATGTCACCTGGTGTATATATATATATTTTTTTCCCATTACAGCCACTGTGTTATTGACGGACGTGTTGATATTCTTGAACAATACGGGCTAGTCATTTTTTTTTCTCACGCACGTGTCATTTCAACGCTTGTCCCTTGCTTTCCCGTGGCTCACAGAAATGAGGTGGACCATCGTGGTGTTAATTCACACTCCGCTCCTCCGTGCTATTGACCTTTTTTTTTTCTGAAGAACCAGGAATAATCAATCGCCCGTGTTTCCTGCTGCCATGTCCTTGTCGACTTAGCTTGCTGGTGGGAGCCCTTGTCCACTGGCCCGCCTTAAAGATCTTACAATTGTTGTCGGGTTTTTGTTGTTGTTGTTGTTGTTTGCGATCACATTCTGGAATTGTTAAAAACATAAAAATATGAATATATATATACTCCCTCTCACAGCCCAACTGCTAAGAGGCGCATGTGTGCAAGTGGAGAGAGTTAGGTTTTGCAGATAAACGTGCAGAGGTGAAATGCAACAGTCATTTGATTTCGAGGTCAACATGCCCGGTGTTATGGCCTGGGATTGCTCCCAGTAAACGTAGTACGTTGTTGGGCCAATGTTTTTGCCGACGTTCGTCCAACGGTTCCCACCGCAGTGCCAACGTTGGCCCAAGTTTGACATGTTTACTGGGGGGAAGAAGAAAGGGGAAGAAGTAACGAGCATACTGAGGGAAGACAAGGGGCCGGAGAAGGGGGGGGGGGTTCATTTTTTTTCATCATTCGCCAATTAAGTCGTTTGTCTGACTAAAAATTGTAATCGACTACTTTTTGGGGGGAAGTCGATTGCTCGGAGCCCCTTTAAAATTACCGAACTGGCCGCACATCCTCCATCCTGAAGGAGGGAACCCATCCCCCCCCCCCCCCCACCCTCGACTAGCCGTGCCCAATGATGATGATGACGACGACGAGATCGCCAAGCTCTGTCCATCACCTCTCGTCTAGCGATGCACGACCTTGCCTGTCGACTAATTGTGGCATCGGAGTTTGTAGCAATTTGTTCCCAATTTTTAGGAGCTAGGCAGCTCAATGTAACTTCGCCAGCTCGTGAATCTGACCTTCGTGACCCACGTCGTTAGAAGTTTATTATTGTTACTTTTTGTTCCCACAAAAAAATACCTGTAGTAGCGTGCGCTCAGCGCTGGGTCTCCCCGAGTTAGCGGTGAGACCCGCGGCGAGATGGATGGAGTTCTCTCTCTCTCTCTCTGTGCGACTGCAGCTCTGAAAATGCTGGCTGTTGACAAATGCATCATCAGTCTTCAATTTGCAGTGCCCTTCGTGCGATAGACAGTGGAATTCAAGGCCCCGACCAGAGGTGGATCTAGAAACTTGTCAATGGGGTCCCAAAATTTTTATCTAATTAGGGCTCTGCATTTCATATCAATCTTTAAAAAAAAAAACATTCAACATATTGTCTCTGGTGAATACCAATAAAATATCAATTTTATGGATCTCAAGTGACATTCCACCCCATAAGCCCCCCCCCCCCCCCCCCTCACAACTTGGATCTGCCACTGGTCCCTCCGGCCAAAAGTGCCGTAAAAAAATTCCTGGGGAGACATGGGAAGGACAAAAATGTTGATTTCACAGCTCATGGCTGTGCGTTGCCTTTACCCCCTTAGACTCGCCCCTGCCTGCCTCTCCGCTCTCTTCTCACCCTGCATGGAAGGGACGGAGGAGCAACTTGGATGTTCAGACTCAAACGTTGCAGGAAACCTCGAAAGACGTAGCCAGGCTAAGAGGCAGCGATGCGTGGCACGAGGGTGGGCTGGGAGAGGGCAGTTCACCAAGACAGTCACCGGAGCCGCACCGAGAGGTTGGTGACCAAGGTGGAGGCCCATGGTGGTAGGCCTCAACCTTGGTGGCCTGAGACCACCGGTCCCCGCATTTCCCACGCCAGGTCACGAATGTACAGAGAGGTCACGTGTCCACGACTCCAGTCCACGCGGTGTTGGGAAGGCGTTCGTTTCACGTTGTGCATTCGAGTGTTTTGCCGCTGCAACATGGCATTGATATGCTCCGCGCACATTAAATATTTAGAGAATTAGGCTGCTATAAATGTCCACTTGATGATAAGCCACTTCGTTGAGCTATTATTTGTTGGCCATGTGGCCTCTGAAAACGAGCTATATAGCTCAGTGGGCCTTACTTGGTAAAATAAAAATAAAGTTTAGTTTTAATTTATCCTGCACGGTATCCATGCCGCAGCCCTCTCTAGGGGAGGGAAGGGGGGTCTCACCCATAGTGTGACAGCTGAAGTCCTAAAGCCAGATTGTGACTTTCTGCAAGAGCAGACCTTGATGGTCGTGTGTCGACTTTACAGCGAATATGCGACCTAGCAAATGGAAGCGGGTGATGGTGGTAAGGTGTGATGGCATGAAATAAATTTACAATGATGACCTCTTGACTTCACCATTTACGTTTGGTCCCATCATGAACATAAACTGGCTTGTGCCTGTGAACTCTGTGAATCACGATCTCTCGCATTGCCTCGTGCTCAAAAGCTGTGCTGTGATTCATCCACAGAAAATGTGAATGCACCTGTAGACTCAGGAGGGACAAAGCATCGCATCTGTCAAAGGTCAACCCGTAAATTATTCTAGACTCGGGTTTCGTAAAAGGAAAAAAAATTGCAATGAATGGCAAGTAGACTTCACCTGCTCGATTTCGGTCTTGAATCACGCAACAAATTCCACTGTCACGGCGGTATGACCCTTCATGCAGGACACGTGTTTGTTTTAAAGCGGTTTCCGCTGCGCCCTTTCTTCTGCAGGACTTTGAAGGGGGCCTCTTTCCAAATGTTGCTCAAGCCGTCGCTTCACTGTTCTCAGGCGGCCAGCTGCTCGTGGCGACAAGTCGTGGATCTTCTCACGCGGGGTCAAGTCGTTTGTTTGCCTACTCCACCACGAACGTTCACGCAGGCACCGCGGCTCCGCCGTTTGCGACCCGTCTTTTGTCAGCGTCGTCTAGAAAACACCTGGCAAATGAGGAAAAAGAGTGTTTATCGAATATTTGGTCCGAATTTTTGTTGCATTTTAAATGATTCCATGCCCAAAGTGGTAACGTGCTTGTAAATACGATACTACGATTAGCACGGTTGGCTATGTACGGTGTGAAAGAAGATCGACATACAGACATAAACTACCAAGGTAGGTAAACTACCAGCATCCAAAATGTGAGCGACGAATGCGTGAATTTTAGTTTTTTAAAACAAAATCACTTCCCCCCCCCCCGTCGTGAAGCTGAAGGCATTCCCTGCAGGTTGTTCTCGACTCAACTAGGACTGTGTGAAGAAAATAATCGAAAACGAAACCTGCCTAGATTCAAACTGGCTGCGAGGATCGCACGTTGAGAAACGCTGCCCATATATGGCAGAGGTGAGCCCCCTAAAGGGTACCGTATTCTTTACGATTACAAGACCCTCCGAAAAGTAACACTGCACCCCACATATATTCCTGGTGTTCATGAAGTTATACAAATTTGGTCAAATACTGTGCACACACACACACACACGAAAGCACATGCCTACCGTATGTATAAGAATCACCCACCAACTGTTACTTTAAAATGAACGCGGAAAAAAGTGTGTCTGATAATCATGAGAATACGGTAACTGATTTCTTAATACATTTAGTCTTAAATTGGTTCATTATAGTCATGTTTTTTTTTTCTCCTGTGGATTGTATAAATTCCCTGTCATCGAAAACAAAACGAAAACATGAAAAGCCACACACACGAACTCTATAACATTAATTTTGTACGAGCAGCCGTGGCTTTTTACTGTGTAAAACTAAAACTGTTTTATTTACCAGGTATTAAAGCCCCACTGAGCAAATTAGCTCTTGTTTTAGAGGCGAAGTGGTCACAACGTGGTAGCTCATCACATTGGCTCATCTCATCATCGTCGCACGTGGGAATTTATAGCAGGAGCCAAATGATCTAAGGCGCATGTTGTTTCTAAATGTGGAGGGGGGGGGGGGGGAGACAAAAAACCGGAGGAACCCGGAGAAAAAAATCACGGGACCGTCGCTAGGGGAGAGAGAGAGAGAGGACACACGATACTCCAAATATACAACAGGCATCGTCAGGGTCCAGGATCGAACCCACGATATCTCTTGCGCACCAGGAGCCATTCGTAAAAAAGGGGTCGACAGAATTCTCTTCACGTCTCTTTTATTAAACAACAGTTACAGCAATCAGCATGCCTGGGGCGCTTGATAACCAAACACTGCCACCATTTATTTGGCAGTGCGTGCAGTCATTTGCACATGGATTATTAGAATGCTTTACAATATTCAATTTATTGAGAATTTGTGGGATGTGTACTTTCTGTTCTTGAGAGAAGAAAATGAATGACTGCCACAGCGAAGCAATTACGGCCATTCTGAAAATGCAATTTGCCAGGAATATGCATGGACGGGCAGCACTTCTATCGCTAACATCAGCTGCACCGTGAGATCAGTCACCCTGCAACACCCCTACCGCCCAGCACCCTCTTGCTTCAACCACTCGCACTAACCAGTGTGACATGTACGTATGTATGTATGTTGAACTTCTTTCGCACCGTACGTAGCCAACCGTGCTAATAAGGAGGTGCGCGGAGGAAGGTCAACGAAACTAAACACAAAAGTGAAATTCTTGAGAAATTTAGTTTTCAATTTAGATTTAAAATGCATAGCTCCAGTGGCGTCCTAATATCCGAGGGAAGAGCGTTCCAAACGGCCGCAAAAGCGCATCTGACAGGAACGCTATGCGGTGACCGTCTTTTCTAGATTTGAAGCTTTCGTGACTGCAAGGATCCATACTCTTTGGTTCTATTTGGTAAAGTCACGTAGGTGAAAAAATTAAACAACAAAAATCACGACGTTCCGTCTTTGTTCGCTGGTTAAAAGCCACGAGCGAGGATTACTGGAGTTTGCGTGATGATATCTGCTTCTTGATGTGATCGACAAGGTATTGTGGTTCATTTGTGACAAGCGCTTTGTGTGTAACGAGTGCCACCTTGTAATGTATTCGTTCGGCAAAACTGGAAGCCAATGCAGCTCAGCGAGCACTCGACGGACATGGTCGGATCTTGCAGTACCCTTCACGACACGTGCCAAAGAATGGTGAAGTATGGTACAAAAAAGCAACCCCCCATGATCACCAAATAGCATTAAGGAGGCCATCATCCAGCAGCGGATTGACAAGAGTATGATACTTTATATCATTATGTTATCTGTAATGGGTTAACGTGACCCCTGTAGGTTCACCAGAGGCCGCGATTTTCACAAGTACATATATTTAAAAAAAACATGATTCTAGAAAATAATTACGGCTCTTGATTATGGCAATGCATTTAACCGCTGGGAAGATGAGTCACCCATAACACGCCCTGACACATTCGCCAGTAACACTGTAGCCCTAAAAGAAAATGTTTGAAAGGTGACGTTTCGGGAAATGGTCCTTCATGTGCTGTGGAGGAGGGCCATTGGCCAAAACGTTGCCTATTTAAAAAAAAACACGTCTAATAAGGCCACAGTGTTATTAATCAATGTGTCGAGTTATATTCTTAGTTTTTTCGGTAAAGTCACGTTGAAGAGAAACAACAAAATAACAAAATATATATAAAACAATAAAAAATTCTCACGACGTTTCGACCATAACTCAAACGGTCATCATCAGGTGTGTTGGTTTGCATAAATTTATTTTTAAACGGCACATTTATCTGAAACCGGATTCCCACCACCATCCATCACAGAAGAATTCTCTCATCAAGACTCTGTATCATAGAGCCCAATGCATATCCGACCAGGAACACATAAGCAGTGAACTCAAGCACGTACACCAAGCTCTTAGGGCTAATGGTTACTCCGACTATACAATCCGCAAAGCTATCACTCAAACCATGAAGAAGAACCCTCTTGAGGAGCCTTTCAAAACCATCACTTTACCCTACATTGCTGGGAACACAAAAAAGATCTCCAAAATCTTGAATAAACACAAGATCCAGGTCCGTTTCAACACATTACATAAAATCCGTGATCTGGTTCCGTCTGTAAAAGATGTGATTCCGGACATACAATACCCTGGTGTCTACAAACTAAGTTGCCTCTGTGGTAGTAGTTACATTGGAGAAACCAAACGCCATGTCTCGGACCGCATTCGTGAACATAAAGCAGACCTTAAACACGGTAGGACCAACACCTCGGCCGTAGCAGATCATTGTTCTAATTCAGTAGGCTCACATGCCATTGACTTTTCCAAGACGGAGGTTCTTTGTAAGCCATCTGGCTTCCATGAGAGATTCGTTCATGAGGCTATCCACATATACAAGCACAGAGACAATTTCAACCGAGAAGATGGATTCTATCTTAGCAATCATTGGAAAGATTTGATAAACCATTTCAGTTCTTAATTGATTGTTCACGCTTACAGTGGCTTTCAGACAGCATACATTATAAAAAAATTCGTCTCCCCCCTCCTCTTTTCAAAAAAATAGATGGACTAGTCCTGGGCAAACTGCCAAATCGCTGCGCGTGACGCCAACGTTTTTTATTATTATAAATAAATAAATGTGCCGTTTAAAAATAAATTTATGCAAACCAACACACCTGATGATGACCGTTTGAGTTATGGTCGAAACGTCGTGAGAATTTTTTATTGTTTTATATATATTTTGTTATTTTGTTGTTTCTCTTCAACGTGACTTTACCGAAAAAACTAAGAATATGAATTACTGCAGTCACGAAAGCTTTAAATCAAAATTTAATGTGTCGAGTTGTTTTGCTGCTGTTCCATTTACAGTGATTTGTGCACCCCTGCCAATACAGCAAGCAGCATGGCTAAATGAACATTGTCTCACACGTCTAGAGTCTCCACAATAGAGAATAAGGTGACTGCCAGGGGCGGAGCCAGGATTTTGACTTGGGGGGGGGGGCTGACTTCAATATTGTGAGATATCCACTGTTTATGTTTTCCATTGGGCGCCACAAATATATAAAACACATTTTATTGGATTTGAACGCGGAGTTTATTAATAGGTCGGAGCCGCTGATGTGGCTAATGAGTTTGAAAGGCTGCCGCTCAAGCAGCCTGCAGGGCAGCCAAAGGTGGTAGCCTGCAGGGCAGCAGCACAAGGTGGCAGCCTGCAGGGCAGCCAAAGGTGGCAGCCTGCAGGGCAGCACGAGGTGGCAGCCTGCAGGGCAGCGCACGAGGTGGTAGCCTGCAGGGCAGCACACAAGGTGGAAGCCTGCAGGGCAGCACACAAGGTGGAAGCCTGCAGGGCAGCACGAGGTGGCAGCCTGCAGGGCAGCACACAAGGTGGTAGCCTGCAGGGCAGCAAAAGGTGGCAGCCTGCAGGGCAGCGCACGAGGTGGCAGCCTGCAGGGCAGCACACAAGGTGGCAGCCTGCAGGGCAGCACACAAGGTGGTAGCCTGCAGGGCAGCAAAAGGTGGCAGCACAAGGTGGCAGCCTGCAGGGCAGCACACGAGGTGGCAGCCTGCAGCATTTTGCAGCAGCCGGATATCTAGTTATCCCGATTACCGACTTTCCCAAAATTTCAGGGGGGGGGGGGCTGAGCCCCCAGCCCCCCCCAGCCCCCCCTGTGGCTCCGCCCCTGGTGACTGCAATCATTTCAAAGGAGGGTTGCCACCTGTCCTATAGTTTTACCAAGATCGTCATCCGTGTTGTGAATTATTTACACATTTTTACAAAACATACCACGCGAGCTTTTCAAATTAGGGTCAGTCTTAAAAGGGCAGACGGGCGCATGCCATTCTCACGGAATCCGTACACTCGACAGAACTTCTGTGCGCATAACTCTGAAAGATGAACAGCATTAAACTTGTGATAATTGTATCTATTATATAAACGGCAGGCAACGTGTGTCCTTGGAGATTATTGCAATATCGACCGCGATCAAGATGTCCGTTTGAGAATGTGGGCTATGTTAATTGAGTGGCCGTGTGTTTCCATCCATTAAAATCCTTTCTCAC